CAAGACTTCTAATACAGTTCCTCCTCAACTTAATGGCCCTCAGTTCTGCTTTTGCCATTCCCGCTACATGCAGAGAGACAAAACCGAAAAAAAGAAGAAGAAAAGAGACAGAGAAGCAGAAAAAACCTGCACGGACCCCCACTCCAAAAAAAAGACGGTCCCTAGACGACTAGAATAAACAGCGAAGCCACATTTCAAAACGTCACAGGTATTTTCCTCCCTGCTCCACTTTTATCAGCTGGACAGACTAAATATATGTATAAAGTTACACAGCTTTTTACTGAAGATAGATGGAAAAGATAAAAAAATGGACGTCAGCTTCAGGATGTAACAAGAGTCAGTAACATTCAGAAATCTCTTAATGATGACTGCTTCACCTTCAAAAATGCTCCAGTCGTCTTTGAAACATTAGGACTTGGAGTCATTTTGATTTTCAGAAGCTTCTACACTTGTGTCTCTGCCACTATCGCTACATATTATAACACTGTTCCAGTTACACAACAATAAAATGCAGCCTATTATTCCTTAATATTGTTGAAAAGCATTGTGATAAATGTAGTAAATATCAATCTGAAGTCCTGATATATGTGAAAAAGGGGTAATGTTAGAGGGCATACAGCCAAAAGTAAAGTCTATCTAAAAATATAATATATAATAAGTTTGCTTAGTATTCATCTTAATGTATGCCATAGCATACAACAACATACAACACCACTTTTTTCTTCAAGTGAGGAAATAGAGTATTCGCAGTTTGCATGGTTACAATTCAAATAAAGTTCAAGTAAATGGGGAAAAGCCAATGAAATATTGATTGTGTATGAACAGATTCACGACTCCGTTGAGTAACACGCAACCGAAACTCAACCATAAAAGCTGCTCTAGCCTTCGAGCATCACAGTGAATTGAATTATGTTCTCTATCCAGCTAAGGTTAACGAGTCAGGATGAAAAAGCAGCAAAACATCTTTTCGTTCATTATTCACTCGTCACTTTCTTTATATGTAACGCATTGCTAAAGAAACATCACAAAGCCCATGTATTAAACTAACGCGGCTTGTCCTGCGTCCTGCTGGAAATAAAGGTTGCGTATGTTTTCAAAGCCGCCTTTAAATAAATTAGGAAAAGGGAAATCAAATAGTTCACTTGTGTTGCTTAAAGCCACTACACTGTGTTTTCTGTGGCTTCATTAACCTGTGTGTGTTGTGTGTTGACAGGGCTCACAAACACGCACGCTGTCCAAACACTAAACACACATCCTTTTTATTAAAGGGTGCGGAAAGGGGGGAGGTGGAGTGGCTGTGGTGTAAAGAGAGTCGAGTTGGGAAGGTGAGATATAAACACAGGAATCATCAATAGTGGCGATCGCTCCGCTGAAGTCTCCCTCCCATTGTGTTTGTGGTGGGAGTCAGGCCAGCCATCCCAGCACTGGAACAATGGAGGAGAGGGTCGCACTGGACCAGCTACAGTATGAGTCATACTCGCACACGCACACACACATGCATGGTCGTGTACACAAAACCAAAGTCAAGCAACGTCCCCCCTCGTGTTCGGCAACACAAACAGGAACATTAGACATTAGAAGCTGTGTTTTTAGGAGGCCTGTTTTCACAAACACAGCATGAAACAAGTTGTTCATTTTAATGTGTTGCTATCAACGGCCTCACAAACTCCCTCTCCACATAATCTGAAATGTGCAGCAGATAAACTATTTTACGGAATTAATTTCTACGATTCACTGCATTTATTCAATTTTTGTGGATCCCCTCTTTTTCATCTTGCATCATATATTTCAAAAATTGCTTTCTTTTATTTTTTAAATAAAACACTCAGCATCCACTGGGCTTCATCAAATTCTGGCTTTTGTGTATAAGTAGTTTTTGGTGAATTTCTCCTTTAACGCTGACAAAGCCGTGTGGCTGGCACCAGGGCGGTCAGAGGGGTTCATGGAAGGACAGGGGAGGAAAGGGGAGGGGAGGGGCGGCGTACCAGTCAGTGAGAGACAAATGCATGTGTTTTCCTGCCTAGGCACTCACTACACAACACTACACAACACTAATATACATTCATAGACAGTATATTCCTACACATACTGTAGAAAACACATCTGTACATTGTCATTCTAAAATGAGTTTATCTTGCGATCAAATTAGATTTAAAAGAGTTATCTGCAAATAAATGCATTTTCAGCAATGACGTATGCAATTGCGATTTTTCCAATCACAAAAGCCATATTTCATAGATAAAGATTTAGTAAAATAGAGACCAGAGAAAGTTCAACCAATGCTAATTTATCTTTCTCCACATTAACAAAAATCTTTCGAGCTGGAATATGTTGGAAAACATTTACTTACACTGATCACAAGCAAATGAAAAGAGAAAAAAACCCAGTGCTTACGTGCAACTGTAACCATAGCGAACAGACAAAAACCTACACACTCATGAACACACACACACACACACACACACACACACACACACACACACCCACACCCACACACCCACACACACACACACACACACACACACATGCACCTGTCTTCATCTCACTTCATATTTTATGAAACAACCACAGGTGATCGTGCCCTCAACTCTGCCAAAACGTTCCCTCATTGCACCACTTTTTCTTTTCCTCCACTGATTTCAAAACCAGTGCAGCAGATCTGCCTGTGTCTAATTGCCGACGTGTTAAACCAATCAAAACCGAAGTGCGCTGGCGGGAAGAGCCGGTCTCAGCTTCTCGGATCCAAGGTGTTAGAAATAAAGGTCCCTCACGTCATGGCTCATTCCCAGAAAGAGACGGGGGAAGGAGAGAGGCAGCGTGCCGCATCGGAGAAGAATGGGGAGAGCTCTTTAGAAGGTCCTCCTAATGGCTAAATATTTATGAGTCCCGTGACCGAAGCCAACTTATGGAAACTAAATCTTTAAACACTTTTTTTGGCAGATGCCTGCACACACACACTCCACCAGCTTGGCTCTATTACCAGAGAAATTCTTTTGTTCTTACAGAGCTAATAATAGGGAGAGAGGGGCTGTGTGTTACGTGTGAGCAGTGACTGTGTCTTAATGTGGCAGTGTGTGTGTGTGTGTGTGTGAGAGATGAAACTGTATTTATAGCTTCCTACAGCGCCACACTACTACTGCTGTGACAAACTTGTAATTCTACTCGGCTTCCTGTCTTTCTGGTCCCGGCCTCAAACTCTCAGCTTTACATTTAGAGGGGAGTTCAAAGGTCGGATGGATTTGTCTTTTAATTGAACTGGGGCAGATCCGTTTGGCTGCCTCACGGTTTTGCTGAATTCTCACCGTTACCGACACATAAGCTTTGCTCTGCAGTCCTTCCAGTCATTGGTAATGAGAAACACATAAAGAGGAGAAAGCTGTGTGTTTGTAGTGTGGGAAAAAGTGTCAAAGCCACAGCTAGGACATTATTTTTCAGTCCCACTTGTGCTTAAGATGGCTCTTTAAAAACAGAGCAACCCAGGGGGAGTTCAATTATCTCCCTCGCTTAAGTGCCCCCTCCTCACCCAAACCTGAGGGGCTGTGTGACGGGGCCAGGAGAGGTTTTTTTTTTTCTGGGTTTGATTGAGCGGATTGGTTTTGCAGGAAGAGGTTTCTCCTGCTCTGAGCCCCGGTCATTTTCTACCTTTGTAACAGGCACGCGGCTCAACGGCTATTAAGCTCAACTAATATGGGTCGTCATTAGGGAAACATAATGGCGCTTCACTCAGCAGCAAATCAGGGAGCGACAAACACAAGTGGCTGAGATAATTGAATTAGGACGAGGGTGTGAGGAATGGAGAGGCCTGGCAGGGCTGCGAAAATGATCATTCAAAGTTAATGGGCACAGCGCACGCAATTATTCAACGTGGCCACACCCTACGACAAGCGCTAGTGTGTGTGTGTGTGTGTGTGTGTGTGTGTGTGTGTGTGTGTGTGTGTGTGTGTGTGTGTGTGTGTGTGTGTGTGTGTGTGTNTGTGTGTGTGTGTGTGTGTGTGTGTTGCCCCTGAATGTGAAAACAGTTCTCGAAAATGTCAATAGCGGAGACACAGCGCCTGCTAAATGTCAACATGTGTATTTCAAGGACTCTTGTCTGCGTTGTAATTGGCACAGGTTTCAATATTGCGTTTATTTCATTTATCATTTTCACCCCTTTGAAAAACAAAATAGTATTAAATATTTGAGAGGGAGGTTTGGGACGAGCTCCGGTCCCATGAATATGCAGCTGAGCCTTTGGCGACGCGGCGTGAAACAAACAGACAAAAGGAGGGGAAGAAGAACAGGTGAAGCGCAGGCTAATCATACGGCTTTCATGACGCTCTGAAAATTTACCCCCATTCAGAGCGAATAAAGCTGCAAGTGCACAAGCACCCCAGAAAACGTCCCTTGGGCTGTGCAATGAATGAGTGTGAATTATCTAATTTTTACATTGAAGCATTGGTGGACGGTGTCTATTGGTCGGTTGGGATTGATCATGATTAACAGTCAAACACGCTGTTGGACTGGCTCAGATGTTTTTAAGAGACATGGCAGATTACATATACTTAACCAGTAAATATGTCTTTCAAATATAGCTAAAGGTTAGAAACAATCTTCAAATCAAATCAAATACAGATGATTTATTGTGATTCCTGTGTGAAACCGTCAGCTCTCTCAATTGGAGATGGACGGACTTCAGTTCACATAAAACCCTCAGACTATGAGATTTCACAACCCATAGCCAAAATGTGTCACATATGAAAATGTGTCTGACTGCTGAATTTTGATCAGGCAGTTGGACAGACAGTGTGTGGCAGCAGACCCCCTCTTACCCCCCCTGCAATCCTGCACACACACTTAATGTTGAGCCGGGGCATAAAAACAAGGAAGATTAAAGATCTGTCCAAGATGAAGGGTTGAACAAATGATGTTCCTGAACTCTACAAAGTCATTTATAATGACCTACAGAGTTTCTGCACCTCGAATTGTAAAACACTTGAAAAAAAAGCATCATGATCGCCTACCTTGAGTTCACGGAAGAAGATGCTGCTGCGTGCCCACTCCACGATGGAGAAGAGCGTCTGGTCGGCCATCTTGCACATTAAGCCGAAGGTGTTGAGCTTCTCGTGTTTGCCGCGGCTGGCCTGCTCCTGCTGCAGGTACGCCAGGATCTTGGCCTGAACCTGTGGCTCGTCAGGCTCACACTTTAACAGCTCTACGATCAGGTGGGGGAAGCTGGGTGGCGAGCCCGACTGGTAGGCATCTACGTAGGCGTAGCCCATGATGGACTCTGGCGAGCTGGTGTACGGGTCAGGGTACTCTGACTTGATGGTGCGTGTGCCCTGGAAGTGTCCGTAGGCCGCCTGGTAGCCCTGTAGGCTGCCGGCGTGTGGCGGCATCGCCATGCTGACCGGCGAGGTGACAAATGGGCTGCGGTCGTAGTCTGTTGGGGGCAGGGCAGTGGCGTGATGATGGTGGTGGTGGTGGTGGTGGTGACCGGTGTGGTGGCCGGCGTGGTGGCTCAGCGGGAGGCCCTTGGAGGCGGCTGAGTGGATGTTCTGGATGGCTGAAGAGATGGTGAGGTCAGTGGGCACGGCCTGCATCACCTGAGTCATGGCCTCAATCTTGAGGCCGTTAGCTCGGATCAGCGCCTTCTTTTGCTGCTTGAGAGCTCGGTCACGTTTGTACATGGGGCCAAACTTGTTGCGACCGCCACGCATGCGGTCCGCCCGCACAGCTGACAGGAAGAGAGGAGGAGAAGGAGACAAGAGAGGACAGAATTAGTGACGGTGTTTAATTCTTTGTTTCTGGCGTTCTCATTCCTGACGTCTGCACTTGCATCAAGCCTTATCACAATTCTCTCTGTCTCAGATATGACTGATGACTGATTTCTGTTGAAACAAAATCCTAAAAAGAACTATAACAATGTTTGAGCAAGAATGAAAGATATCCTCTTGTGTTTATATTCATATTTATGTGGTGTTGTGAGGGCAAACTTCTCATTGGTAACTTGTATGTAGGGCAAAGGTGTTCCTCTGGTGATTACACTTGACATTTACATGTTGACTCTTAAACCACACAGGTCTAACAGATAGCTGCGTTACTCATTGACCTGAAACCCAAACTTCTATGAACCACTCTGCTGAATGATCGTTGTACAGCTGGCTATCTCTGTCTCCCACTCAGGGAATACATACCTCAAAAGCTTAGATAACGGTAGAGACTCAAAGAAAATTCAAGCTCTCTTTCCAAAATACACGTTTTATTATGCTGTCTGATTATGCAATATCTAAAAGCTTCAAATGTCACTGTCCATTAGCAGAAACCTTTTTCTCCGTAAAACCCCCAAAGGCTGAAGAGGCTGACAATAAGCAAATTGGGCTTCTTTTTTTTTTTTTTTTCCTGATGAGCCAAACATACCCACGATGCCCCCTGCCTCCCCACTCAGTGCAGGATCCCGTGGTGAGGATCACAACGAGTCTGTGCCGTGGGTATTTCTAATGAACACAGTGGACTGCTACAAGGGCCATGTGTGATCTGGCCGACTGCTGCCATGGGGAAGCCGCTCTGCTGTCTCCCAGTCGGGGAGCGCTGGTGTTAATTATTCATACTTAATTACCTCTTACTCACCGAGCGCAGTGTGCCACGGGCTAACGGACGTCTGGGAAACGTAGCAACAGAAAAAACACTCACTAATACCAATACTGCAGAATATTACAGACTTATTTTTATTGTATTCAGCACAGTTTTGTCACCATCTATGGAAGAAAAAAAAAGAAATAAACCCACATATTTAACTATACATGCAAATACATGTATATACAGTTGCCCTGTTGGTGAATGGTGGATCGTCAGATAACGTGCGAGTCAGCCTGGGTCCACTCAAACTGAATGAAGGACCGGGGGAGGGAGGAAAATTGAAAAGGGGGTGAGGGGAGTAAGTGGGAGTGGGGTAGAGGGGCACAGGAGTGGGGTAGGGTGGTGGAGATGGGGGGACGAGGGGCAGACACCCATACAAAAACAGACACTCACACATACACACACACACACCGAGCTGCCTTGGGAGTGATTTTAATGACCTCCGTCACAAAAGTGTCTGTCACTGATCTGAGCGAGAGGAGCCAAGAGTGGAGACACACACGCACACACACGCACACTGACTCACTCATACCACACACACGCAAACACACACTGGGTAACATGGGACGTGCCACACGGCAAGGGGGCACACCAGACACTCCTGCAACTGTAGACACACACACACACACACACACACACACACACACACACACACACTTACCTCCCAACATGCTAGAGGTCAACTCCAGTGCCCAATCAAACAGATTCAGGGATTATCACGCCCGTTAAAAAATTGATCGCATGTCCAAGAAAGAAAAAAAATCAGGAGCCCAGTCAAATGTATCCATTATACATTATTGTAGGGCAACTTTAACTATTAATGATTTCTCCACAACAGCGTAATTAATGAGCTGAGAAACTAATAGTTAGCTCTACTGGGAAAACAAAATTAAGCCCTGACTGCCTGCTCGCTCGCTCGTCTGCCTCGGACCCAGGGACCCACATCACATCATGAATATCCAGACCTGGGATAGGAGATGGGGGGGGTACAGGTCTCCCCACTACTACACACACACACACACACACACACACACACACACACACACTCACACACATGCACAGATTCTTTGTCTGTAATTAAAAAAAGTGATTTGCATGCATGTAACACAGATTAATATGGAAGGGGGAGGGGAACAGGACAGTGTAAGCATGCATGTTAAGGAAGAAGGTGTGTGTGTGAGTGAGTGAGAGAGTGAGAGAGAGAGAGAGAGCTGGAGAGATGTTAATGTTTGGATGCTGCAGGGATTGAGCTGATGTGACAAACCCTCAACTAGGCTTTGAACAAAGCTGCACACATGCTTTGCTGCTTTAAAGTATTGATTCGAAAAATGTTGTTCTGCTAAAAATATTGTGAGGACGTAACGTGAGAAGAAATCTTAGATACGGAGAAAATGTCACATGCAAGAAACACCCTGTTCTCCCGTTTAAATGAAAAAAACTTTGTTCGCATGAATAGGATCTGAGTGAAGAGAGATCATGAGTTAACAGCGAGGCTTCGGGGCTAAATCCAGGCTGAGGGACTAAAGGGCTGATGCTGCCATCCTCTGAATTTCCCTGACTTACTGTCTACAAGCACATCCACTAAAATACACATATTTGAGCACACATCCGCCTTATACACACCATCTCACACACAGACTGCACACACAGTATCGTTTACACACACACTTTCTCTGCACACACCTACACATAGCCCCTAACACACTCAAACACATCACACACACACAGAGCCCTCAGCGCTTATATCCTCTGATTTATGGTTGTTTAATATACAGGAATATTAAGCGTGCGTAGGTGAGGATCCCTGTCGGCCGCCGGCATATTAATGGGTCTCGCGGAGTCTTGCTGACACCCTGTTTGTCATGTCGGGGCCCCGGCCCCTGCTCCGGATGCGCCCTATCCCATGCACACACATGAATACCTATGATACCTATGCATAAGTAATGGGACAGCTCCCCGGCTTCCACCCCAGGTTACTGGGAGGCTGATGGAAGACAAATCAGAGCGAGAGGGCTGGAGACAGGGAGGAAATAAAAAGTGGAGGCAGAGGGAGAGAGAGGCAGAGGGGACTATAAAAACACCTGGGTGGTGGTGCTAATTTCAGCCCAATGCGCTGTAGTGGGTTTACATTTGTAGGAATGAATGAATTTAGATTTGATGATGTGATTAACTGTATATGGAAAAAAAGAGGTTGTGTGAGCCTGTTCAGTCAAATATGTGAAAAGTTAAAGTTAATGAAATCAGAGGCAGATTACTGTCGACTTAATCTATGTGCTGTCATGTCTGGTTTAAAGCGAGACAGGACTGATTGGTCCACAAGTTGAGGTTAGTTGATGTTGGGCGGCTGTGGCTCAGGAGGTAAAGAGGGTCGTCCACTAACCAGAAGGTCATTGGTTTGATCCCCAGCACCTCCATTCTGTGTTTTCTGGCATCCGGTAATCATTGTTCCATCAGTGGAGGAAAAATATCTTTTTTTTTGTGTTTCCACATAGCGACTGGCGTTCTCCATAATTATCTAAAGTAACTCCTACTCCCTTGTACGGTTTATTCCACGATCACACATGCTACTGCTGCGCTCCGTCTTTAAGATGATGCACAGTTGAAGGAAACATTAGGCGGCTCACTGAAGCATATGATGCAGGGCAACTTCTAGCGAGCATAAAAGGGAGAATCATTCCAGTGGGAGCTGTTCAGATACTGAATGCTTCATCAGCTATAGAGAATAACGTGCTAATGGGTTATGCTGAAAGTTAAATGGGGAGAGGCTTTTCATAATGAGTCAACACTGGCTGAGACACTACAGTGCATACCAAGAAGACGTTTTACAGCATGTGGCCGTTTGTGCTGAGCATGGTTAGACGAGTGCATCGCTGCAGTGCTATGTCATCATTGGGTGTGTGTGTGTGTGTGTGTGTGTGTGTGTGTGTCACTCATTAAGTTCTCCTTCAGATTATATCATCATGATTTGTGTATTATTTCTTTAAAAATTCACTAAAACGTTGAAAAGCGTCCAATCACGTCCAATCATGTTAAAGAAAGTTTAAAAAAAAAACTGGATTCGCCCCCTGACCTGAGTCCACAGCGAGATGTTTCTTGGCCCATGTCCCATCCTTCCACCAAGTTTCGTGGAAATTACAACATAAACAATACACAACAAACTAATAAACAAATGGACAGGGGTAAAAAACGTTACCTCGTGGGCGAAGGTAATAATATGATTTGAAAAACTGGATGGACAAATATTAGCAGCAGTTGACATGTGGTTAAAGATGCTTTAGCTCTTCAATATCAAGATGATAGAAAGAAGGACGCACTGGATCAGTAGTTTATCCTGTGGCAGAGGCAAACAGTGCAGAATGAAGTAAAGCTTTAATCCTGTATCGTTCAACGACAAGGCACCGCTGAGGTTAAACGATACTGTGGTGTGTCTTGTTATCAGCTGTAGATGATGAGACGGAGCGATGGACACGTCACATCACTGTTCATGTCACTTTGATATGTTCCTGTCAACCTTTTCACCTTGTCTCAACTTTAGAGCGCTGCCAGCGTGCACACACACTCACACACACACCCTCACGTGCACATACGCGTGCATGCACACACAGATTATTCTGCCGCTGCCACGCTCAGAGCAAACATCAAACTCCACATTGGTTGGCAAACTCATCAACAAACAGGAAAGACATGGAACAACACCAGAGAGGCAGAAGTAAACAGAAATACTGACAGAAATGACAGTTTGAGTCAACTCGAGAGTTTCCACCACATTTTTTGAACCACATTTTTTGAACCACATTTGGTTTCCACTCGATACCCTGAATTCACATGTTGCTGCAAGCTGCTGCGTAATGGAATCAAAAGATTACAATAACAAAGCACATGACCCCAAATCTCTTCCTCTCTTTCACAGATATTTTACACACGTTTTTGGATTAAACATCTTCTGCCTCTTCCCTGTGGCCTCTTGAACACCTTCTCTGGGCGTCTCATGAATACATGTATGTGTTTACCACAGGGGGAGCTGTATGTATAGTGTGCGTGTGGTGAGCGGTGTCACACTCTCGGTCTGGGAGGTCTTTACTGCTTGTGGCAGGAGTCGCCCACTAGAGCGTCTGGCCCCTGACAGAGCGCTGCAGGGCCCGTCTTGCCCCCGAGCTGCAAAGATACCACCGGCAAAACAAATCAGACCTGCAGCCCCCCACCTCCCCTCCTCGCCTGTGTCAGCTGGAAATGACAGGCCGGGACTTTCTGCCCAGCGGCCATTCACAATTAACAGCAATTAATTACACGGCACATGGCAGGTAAAGAGAGAAGCCTGCAGGAGGATTTTAGTTAGGCTGTCTTTGCTTTACTTTCATCCTCTCAGGGTCTTTTTTCTTTAGCGTATTAAGTTTTCTCAATTTCATGTGAGCATTTCAGGGGCCGAGGGAATTTTAATTTGGTTTAAAATACAAATGTGGGAAGAATTTTATCACGGCGTTATACTGAAACCTTATGAATATCATAACACCTTATTAAAAGGCTGTGCAAGATAAACATTTGCAGCATTTTTTAATCTTAACATCCTGGATGTCAAAATAGCAGCTATTACTCTAGCTTTTAAATAGTCAGTAAAAAGACGACCTTCAGGTCAAGTTATTCATGTGATTTCAGAGTAAAACCTGTCAACTAATGTGTGGAAAAATAGTTGATTTTAAATATTATCTTTGAACACTGAAGAGCATTTCTTGCCCTGCCACCCTGTCACTTCTGGATAGCCTGCGTTTTAAACAAGCTTCTGAGCCGCGTTCAACTCCAACAAAGAGGCCTCGAAACGGCCGGCCAAAAGTATCATCATTACATTCTCGCCCCACTGCCAAGTTTAATATTTTATCTATTACTCTGTCTGGCAAATTTAAGTGTACAGCAGCTACCAGATACCCCCACAACTCCCCCTGACCCCTTCTCAAATACTAATAAGCAATGCTGGATTTCAACGCTCTGGTTGAAATGAAAGGTTTCTCTTCATACGGTATACATTCAGGAGAAGAGAAATTACTGAAATGTTCATTGTTAAATGTTTAAATAAATATAATCTTCTACTTTCATACAAGCAATCATTTTGTCAAAGCAGGTATTTGCACTTTTTTTAAATGGTGGGTATCTCAATGTAGAGGGAAACTTCTCACATGCAAATAGATCGTTGAAGAATATTTTCCAAAGAGAGTTAATGTGCTGTGATGAACCGAGTTCAATTGGGGATTAATGGAAACAGACTTGAGCTGCCATTTCACCAGAACTTTTTAAAACACCTCCGTGAAAGTCCAGAAGCAGTCAACCTCCAATTTAAGCTGCTTCGCGTTATAAGTTTTTTCCTTCCCAACTTTCAGAAACAGTAATTGCAAACAGGCATTAAATCTTCAAATACACACACACATGAATATAGAGGCTATACGATGCAGCACCCATGAAGCAGTAATACTGCCTGGATCTGCTTTTCCACTCCTGCAGATGTGTCCTGTGAGTTTCAGATCGTGTTTGAGTGAGTGGTGTTTACTGTGAAACCCAGTACGACATGTGCACTGTAAAAAGATAAATAGTCTCCCAGAGTAAAATATAATTTTTAAACGCTTAAATGAAAAGTGAGCCTTGAGGCTGAGTGGTGCACACATTGGTGCAGACGCCGTCTTGTTAGTACCACTGGTACTGCATGTTTTACTCAAGTATTACACTGGAGTACAGATTTGAGGTGCTTAACTTTCTTCCTTCTTTTTTCCTATATATTTTACTTTGTGCTCCACTACTATTATTCAAAAGCCTTAGTTACTAGTTACTTAACACATTGAACTACCAGACAGTATATAAAATAGCAATAATTAGCTTGATCATAACAACCTACAACAGCAGAATTTTAATTGCACATTAAAGCATCAGCAATAGTATCATACTGAAATAATATATACAAGTGCATCACTCACATGGGCACTTCTCTGCATTATGATTACATTTTACTCTTGATACTTTGAGTCCATTTTGCTCAAATAATTTGTACCTTTACTTAAGTGACACAGAAACTTCTGATTAAGAATTTTTGTGTTGTAGTTTTGTGACTTTTCTTCAAGCAGAGACTTTGATAGTAATGCTCTAATTGAACTTTAAGTATTTAATATAATACTTAATAATCAGAACAGCTTTCTGTACTGTTTGAAAGCCCTTGAGCGAGATATTGAAATTCCAGTGGCCAGTTACAGTCCCTGGTTGTTTGCACATTAAAACACTTTCTCTTCTAGGCACCAACCATATACTATTTATCCAACACTTAATTACAACACCAGCAAAACCCAAGTGCTGCTGCCATAAACCAGACACCTGAGATGAAAAGCTGAAAACATGTTGCTGTACCTTCTAGCTTCATGCCAACGGTGAGGCACTTCTGGAAGCGGCAGTACGGGCAGCGCTTCCTCTGGGTCTTGTCAATCTGGCAGCTCTGGTTCTCTATACATGTGTAGCGCTTGTTGTTCTGGACGGTGCGCTTGAAGAAGCCCTGCGGAGAGAACCAATTAAGACGTCAACCTGCTTGACCCCTGCAATGCGATGGTAATTGGCCCATTCACACTCCCAGACAGATGGAGAGGGACAGGCTCTCTCTCTCTCACACACACACACACACACACACACACACACACACACACACACACACACACACACACAGTGATCACATAGAACAAAGCATGAATACATACTTTTTAAGTTGAAACAAACAATTTAATAGCCTCTTCATTGTTTAAGACACTTGAGGAAATTTTATAAACCTACATTTGTTCCATAGTTAAAATGTTTAAATACCTGCTTTACTAACTGTATGAAATATAAAGGGTTTATAATCTAATTATCAGATTCACAATCCTCCTCTCAATATCCTCTTCTCATGTAAAGACTAAAACTTCTGGGGAAAGCATCTTTTCTACTCTGCACTTACAATTATTGAAAAATATGAGCACAGGAGTCCAAACGAATCCGATAAATTATATCCATAATTCACAGTTCCGAGATTACAGATATATTCATACCTGCAACGTGGAATTAATTATTGGCAGCAGCAGTGAAAATCAAACGGAGGGAAGATGGTATTAACGTATTCCAGATCCATAACCGAGGAGGAGAATCTTTAAACCTGCTCTTTAAAAAAAGTAAAAATATAAAAAAAAGGGAACGTGCTGCTGTCAATATCTCACCAAACACAAAATTTAATTGACAATCTGCCCTGCCTTATTAGTCCCCCCAAAAAATGCTCTCAGTTTTGGATTATCGACCTCTAGAGCTAAAAAATCTATGCTTCACAGAGAACTTTCTCTCCAATTTTCCACTTAGCACACAGCGTCCGCTAAAAATATCTGAAGCAAACTGGATCATACCATGCTTTAAAAAAAACACACACACACAATATCGCCTGTGAAGATTAGGCGGACAACGCCTCAGTGAAAAGCTCATTTGACCTGCAGTTCAAACCAAGAAAAGGCCCTCGTCAAGGCTCGTTTTTATGTGTGGAGGGATTTCTGCGAGCTAGTGTTGCTTCTGTTGACATTACAAATAACAGACTTTTTGCCGGAAGTAAAACCCACTTATTAACATAAACTCTGAAACCATGCTGTAAAGTATATAAGTCATTCATACATGTAATGTGCAAGTTAATTGGGTAAATTATCTGAGAATAACTGGGTGTTCGTGACCTTGGAATTCTGTCCTAAAACTAAAACAACAACCAGGAAGCAGCTTTTACAACATGTCAGCACTGAGCAGCAAGTCCAACAAAGAAGCAGGAAAAATATAATCCACATGATCACTGTATCTCCTCTGATCCCAGCGTCCTGCACCTGCTTGATTCACTCAAATATGTGCTCTAAATTTAAAAATAAACCTCTGACCTCAAATTGCTTTGGTCATATTTATTTTTCTTTTATTCCTGCACATCATAAATATATTTTTGACGTGTCTACATGTGCACAGTGGCTCTGACCTTCCAACAAGTTGCTTGTGATGTCAGTATTTTAGGATTTAATTCCCCCATAAAGAAGCATGCCAGGACGAGGCCTGTCTGTAAGTGTGTGTCTGTGTGTGTGTGTGTGTGTGTGTGTGTGTGTGTGTTAGAATATATATGCGTCTCATTCCTAACTGCACTTTTGTTGTGGATTGTAAATGGATATCGAG